CTTTCCAGGCCTATTGGTTTTTGCAGAAAAGCCCCCCCGTGTAATCCGATTTCAGTTGCTTGCGTGTTTGCTTTCATATTCTCTCGGCAAACTTGAAAGTTTCGTCTCTCCGCTCACTTCGTACATAGTTTCAGCTTAGGTGACGCCATTTGTATGTGTTCCACGAAATAGCACACTGTGTAAGTAGGTGGAAACAGATCGAACACTATCACTGAACATGAATGAGGAATGCTTGCCATTATTTCTAAGATTGGTGTTTCTTCAAAAAGAACAATGTGCCTTGGGTGTGTTGCGCTTTATATCCTACATATTTTAGACGACCCGATTGGCGTAGTGATAGTGGACCTGTCTCTTGAGACACAGGGTGAGGGTTCGATCCCAATTTCAATCAAATATTATATTCATGCCACAATTAAATATTGTGATATGAACATGTTAAATACTGGAAATAAGAAACATAGTGTTTTTCTAGTGTCTGTGTATTTATCATCTATAATATTTATTTCTTTATAATAGAAAAGTATGTTTAAGTATGTTTACTAGTTACCTAGTATATATACTACGAGCTTTGTTTAGTTTGAGACTACGTAACTTAGTCAATGTTAATAAATTTATATTTTTTGAAGCTTTTGTGACACGTCACCGTTAAAATGATGTAAATATTTTTTACATAGGAATGTATTCATTTTTTATTTTATAAAACTGTTAAGTTTGTCTGGGAATTGCAAATGTGTTAGAATAACGTAACTAATTATTACCGTATATAGTAAGTGACTGAATATTGATTTGAACGCTAGAATCATTGAATGTACACCAGGGTTAAGCTCTATCAAGTGTAATGTAATATACCATAATTATATTTGCGAGTCCTTTGTACCACGGGACACAATAGCGAATCGGCTTTAGGTATTAAGCACAGCGTCTTAGCACTGATATATCGCTGTGTAGTTATTACATGTACCAATATTCAACGGAGTTTGCAACGTCATATGCTTCTTTGGTTTCCTGATAACGTCATAGAGATCGAATAGATACTTAATGAGCTTTAGCGTCGCTAGATAGATCTTAGGACATTATTTTAGGACACTAACATCTCCGTGTTCACATCGCCTGGGAACAATTCCATGTCTCATTCGATTTTTGAGGCTGGTAGCCAATGATGACATTTACAGCATCATTTTTCTTTATTAGTTTTTATTAATTATCCTTCTTGCTCTTATTGAGACATATTTGTGGTTTAAGGTACTATGTATTATAGTCAAACTATTGTTTGACTGGGCATAGGCTCCTTTTTTAAAGGTTATGAGAGTATAGCTCACTCACTCGCCGATTGGAAGGCTCGCATAACATCGAATTATTTTTAAATATTTTTGGCTAAATTTGTAGGTTTCCTCACGGTGTATTCCTATACTGTTTAACACGTCAGCACTTCAAATTGCAATTCATTGTTTACCTTAGCATTTTCACCCGGCTTTTGTTAGCCGCCACGATTAAAGTAAACTTTAAAAGCTGTAAATCTTACATGTATCGTAAGTTATATCGTATTGTTACGCTTTTTAGTGATAAGGCCGCCTTATTGTTACTACCTCATAACTTATTTTTGTAACATTTCTTTTATACGTTTATAGTGTTCAATAAAGCATATATAATAATAATAATCATGTATAAGTGCCTAGATATAGTTTTTACCTTTCCAAAATAATGTAATAACCATCGAACGCAGGGTACGATATAAAAAGGTGGTGAAAAGATGAATTTTATCAGACCACCGTGAACGCATGACCCACGAAAGTGCTAGCGCTGCGGCCGAGATAAGAGCCTCTTTGTGTGCGGGCCGTGAGGGCCGCATCCGTTACACATTGGCTATCTGCACGCTGTCACCTGTACGCCGTATATCACGCCGAGCGACAACCCTATCGTGAAATAAAAACCGGCCAACTGCGAGTCGGACTCGGGCACGGAGGGTTCCGTACCGCTCATGTATGAAAACGGCAAAAAATCATGTCTGTTGTACGGGAGCTGCACTTAAATAATAAGTTGGGGAAAAAGTTTCTTCGCATTTTATATGCAAATTCAAAACATTTTTTAATTAAGTTTATTTACATTTAACTAAAGTATTTAGGTGCCATATTGTTCGATATCTTTCCGCCATCTTGTAGGTAGGGACATGATCCCATTACTATGGAAATTCTCGGGCTTCTGATAAAAAAATCGGGACAAGTGATTTTGACAGTCCTCTCGTAATGTTAACCTGAAACTATCTAAAGAATTCTGAAGAGACCGAAACAAGTAGAAATCTGAAGGTCAGGACTATACGGCGGATGCATTAACACCACCCAGTCATACTCTCTTAATTTTTTCTGAGTGGCTAAAGATCCTAGTCTAGCGCTTAGCGTTATCTAGTCTAGCGATATCATGATGAAAAACCACACCCCTTTCTCTCAACTTCTTGCTTTAATCTCCTGCCTGGTGGTCCTGCCTGGCGGTAACAACTTATAATGAATAATGCCCTTCCAATCCCGCCATACACACAATATTACCTTGTTGAGACATAACCTGTATTTCGCCAGAGTCTGTGAAGCCTGACCAGCCTTTGACCACAACTTTTTCGCAAGTTCTTGTCGTACGTGATCCAGTTTTCATCACCAGTTATCAGGTTTTTATTGTCCGGTTTCATTACGTCGTAATAAAGAATCATAAATGAGTACCAAATATCGAGTTTTTTTGTGAACCCAGCTTTTTTCAAATTCGCCAAAGCTGTTGCCAAACTACTGATATGCCGATCTTGTTCCACTTTTTCAAAAATGGCATCCATTTTATCCGTAACAGGGCGTCGTGAGCGAGGTGAATCTTTGACATCAAAGTTTCCGGATTAAAAACGCTTAAACCAGATTTGTGCTACTCTCACAGACACTGCACTATGTCCATAAATATCACAAATTTTTTTCGCGGCTTGCGTTGCATTTTTACTTTTCTTTGTAGTAAAATTTTAAAATGTATCGAATTTCTTCATTAGAATCTCTCATCTGAACGGTAAGAAAAACAAATGAAAATCACACATTTTCCTAATTTGAATTTAGAATTATCATATTTTTTGGTATCATTAAAAATTGAATTTTTTTAAACTTTTCAATGATACCAAAACCAACCAGATACAAATGGTATAGCCAAAGAGTTTATATTGTAAGTACATACGTACTATTTGCGAAAAGAGTTTTTCCCCAACCTAATATTTTTAGTATTTGTCACAGAAATACGTCATCTGTGAAAATTTCAACTGTCTTACTATCAAGGTCCATGAGATACAGCCTGGTGACAGACAAACGGACATACAGACAGAAAGACAGCAGAGAGTCTTAGTAATAGAGTCCCGTTTTACTTTTTTTTTGGGAACCCTAAACACGTCACACTCCGTTAATTAAGGCTACATCCACATTTTCCTTCAGTGTTAGGGGAATTCGTTATAAGAAATAGGCACACTAAGGAGGAAATAGGGTGGTGTGCAACTACATACCATCTCGTGGTGTGTTGAAGTGAGTATTTAAAGGCTCGACGATCACCTGCAAACATCATCGATGCAAGACAATCATTTCTTGTATTTAAGCGTTTTACATTAAATATATTAAATAATAAACATTTATACATTAAGAAATAAATGCGATAAATCCATAAAAATACTTTAATCTATTTATACGGAAATTAGATTATGCTAATAGTATAATCTAATTTCGTAAAAGTAGTTTAATCTATTTTACGGATTTATCGCGTTTATTTTTAATGAGTCTGTCCCGTGATCACGAATGTTAGTTAATAACGAAATTCTGGTTCTAGTTCACGGCATCCGGCCAAAACATTCAAACTAGTAAACCATTCCTGTTTTTAATTTAATTTTATATTAAAAAAAAAATATGTACTGTATAACAATGTAATGTAAAAAAATGACAAAAAGGAGAATACCTACGGAGTTTCTTTCGCCTGTTTTTTCTCCATTAGAAAAACGTCATTATAAAACGGTTGTAGATTTAAAAAATGACTATCGATAGATGAAAAATCTTATTTGGATGAATAAATGATTTGATTTGATTTTATATTGATTGCATTAACCCGTTTATACCTGTACGTAGGTTGTCATACTATGCACTGTTGAGGTATGTAGAATATTCTCGGTTACGCAAACAAGACTTTGGGTAACATATACCCGCGGCAGAAAACTTTCAGAGTAGTCAAATAAATACTCATAATGGTCCGCTTTGCCCTATTTATTCTTCGCACAACGTCTGAAAGTCGCTCATAAATATTCTCCGCTGTAAGTCTATTTATCAACGTGTGTATCAACGCACGAGCACTAAACTGAATAAATCTGAGAGGATATCGCGAATAACAGCGGCATTATTTGAGTGGTCTTGTTTGGATTATTAGGGTTGATATTTTATACCTTTACTTACTTGGAGGACAATCGTCAGGAATATTGAAAAATATTTTAGATCCGTCAGAAATGCTTCTCTCTTTCGTTGTTTCCGTATGGAAGGTCCATCTAAGTAATTCTGACTATGAACTTTCTTTAATTCAACCGTGTATGAAAACCTTATTTAGAATATATAAATTTTTTTTTAAGAAACGTGCCGATCTATTTAAAAAACAAGTTTATATTAAATAGTTTACAACTGGCTAAAGAGGATTACCCGTAGTTATCATCAGTAGTCTACACTAGCGGTGACACCTGCGAAGTTAGTACAACACTAGAAACAACAGGTTCAACGCTATCACAAAGATTAAATTGACAAACAGTTAAAGCAATGAAGGAATAGATAACTAATTATAAAGATACGAATCTGGCCTGTCCTTCGTATCATCGGTGTTTAGAACCCTAAACTAGGTTTAGAAATTATATTCACTAGGAACAGGTATATCAGGTATATGCGTATGTGGTATATGGTCAGGTAAAATAATAGGTAGTGGATAATAAAATTCACAAAGAAAATCTGACTTGTCTTCCCTCACCTGAAAGAGAGCGTCGTCAGCGGACGGTACGACTTGTGGCTGTTGATGTCCGCCATCGGAGTGCCCCAGAAGTCATTCGTCAGCAGCTGCTTCAAGGTGCTCGCGCCCGTCACGTCGGGGTTGGTCACTATCGCCGGTATGTCGTCGTGGACGAAGTCACCGTTGAGGCTGTTCAGATAGCTGAGCACCGCAGCAGTGACCACCATTGCGTACACTGCCAGGTCGCCGTTGCGCGCGCCGCCCCTCTCCTCGCGCACCGTGGCCAGTGGCCGCCTCTTCATCTTCGGTGCCGTTCTGGCTTTGATCGTCACATTCCATTTACAGCTGCACATTTGCTTCGTCCCCCTCAACGTCTTCGTAGCTCCTCAGGGCCTGGTGAATAATGAGTCTACATTAGAAATGTATCTTTGATGCCTTGTATGACTTACTATTTCTTTTTTTTTTATGTGAAAAGTTGCCAAGCGAGCAGACGGTTCACCTGATGTTAAGTGAATACCGCCGCCCACAGACATCTGCTAAGCCCGAAGGTTGCAGATGCGTTGACAACTTTTAGAAAATTGGGCTCCGGCCACCTCACTCACCAGACGAAACACTAAAGTATTATACTTCCACTTTACAGCGGTCTTCTGTGAGGTCGTGCTACTTACCCGAACGAGCCTGCCCATTCGTGCAACAGCCGAGGCTGTTGTGGCCCTACCACCGTTGTTACTATAAATATATTAGGTTGATATGGATAAAATAAATAGGTCGGAGATCCGAAAATCCATTGGTGCGCACTCAGATGCACTCAGTCTACTTCCTTACTTATTCACTTAGTATTCACCGCATAAAGGTTGAGCTTTTTATTTTAAAAACAATGTTGTTAACTCTGTTCTACTTAAGATTTACTAAGTCATTTTGTAGAAATATTATTGCGAAGTAATTTGTGATGGTAACTATTTAATGTTTCTTTTATTATGTGCACGCACAGTTTGAATACGTACTGCAATTTCTCGGTACAAATGCCATGCAGTTCCAGTCGTAAAAACTCTTGGGGGGTAAAACGCTGTGGGAAATTCCTATCGACGTGTTTCGAGGAAATTATCGCATGGACGTCAATAGCACAACGGACCGATAAATACCAAGAATGGAATAAGAATTGCTTCAATAAGAAATACGACCACATGCCACAGATCCGTTCGTAAACTTTACTCTTTCAAGCGAATTAGCTTTTGAACTCATGCACTCCGCGCTTTGGTCGTCACGGATTCTTAGCAAAAGAGGACCGCAGGTGAAGAGTGTCAACAGAAGTTCATTTGATCAATCCTAATGCTGCAACAAAGCGTTTGCTTCGGTCCACTTTGGCTGTATTTCCCTCTTTCTTTAATGTGGCTGTTTGCTATCCGCAAGTGATTAGACTTACAGTCAAATAGTTCGTCTATAACCGAAGACAACATTGTCACTTACTCTGCGGGATAGTTGTGAAGTAAAGGGACAATCTTGAATAACCTTTCGTGGAATTTTTACGGCAACAACGTTTTTTCGCATTTTGTCTCCATAAAAGATTGTCAAAGAAAGATTATCGAAAAGTAACATTCCGGGAACACATCAATAGGGCTATTGTGAACCGAGATGGAAAATTTAAACAATCATTCTCCTACTAAAAATGTTCACAGGTCGGTTTGAAGTTCATTACCGTGAAACATATTCTCATATTAAAAATTTAATACATTCAGACTTAAAACCTGGACGCATGACTTATGTGCCGTTATTTCATTGATACGCACCTAATATCATTAACTCAAAAACTCATAACATCTCTATTCAAATAGAAGCTTGCGCGTTCTTCTGAATCGTCTAATTTTACATAAAAATTGATACAAAGTTGGTAAGTAAGCTACCATCGCTTCGGAAAGTTCTGTTGAGAAGTGGACGGCAAGAAACTCAACAGTTGCTCTTTTTGAGAAATATCATTTTAAAATTCGTACTATCCACTTATACAAATACCATATTTTATGAAAAATTACTACAAGTAAAATAAATGTGTTTGAATAGTTTTCGTATCCCGGAATTTTTTTAAAACAATTTATTTATTTATTTAATAAAGACACCAAGTAGTTACATATGCACAAAAATTCTGATGCATGTATCTGATTAGGCGACACAGCATTGTTACAGGTGAATTATGAACAAAAATAATAAATGAAAAAATATTTAAAAAAAATAATAATTTCAGAATAAAATTAAAAGTAAAGAAAAACAAACAAAAATATACATTTATTACAGAATTAATTACAACCATCTAAGTGATTAGCAATTAAAATAATAACAGAAGTGACTCGAAATTATTTTTTTTTTTTTTTAATTTATTACGACTAAAATGGAATAGATATACAGCAACGAATGTAATATAATGTTGATAAAATAATATTCATAGAGCTGATACCAAGAAATCGTTTAAAAATATATGGCATCACATCGATTTTATTTATTCCGCGTCAGTAGAGAATGTTCGAAGGTCGAGTAAATAATGGTGTTTACTTTAAACTAGACATCCGTGGCAGTCGTTAACGATGCTCTTTCACATAAAAAAAAAAAAAAAAAATGTACACAAATCAATTGACGCTACTAGCTAGGAAATCGCTGCAAGCGTTTTGCTGAAAACTTGTGCGCAGCTGAAACGTAAATTGTGTAAGTGTCTGTTTTGTTTTAACCATCCCATCTCCAGCCTTGAGTACAAAATATTCTTTTGGAATCAACGTATGGGAAGACTTCGGTTTTCTGTATTAAATTTCAATCTTAACTCAATGTTTACATTGTAAATATTAATAATTTATTAATTTATTAAAAGAATAAAAATATTCACGATAAAAATTACTCAGTAATAATCTCCATGACGAATACTGCTGAGGAAGCTTACGTTACAGTAAGCAGTTTCCTGACGTAAGTATTCTTCGTATCTAATTCAAGATAAGAGTTTAACTTGAATATAAAAATATTAAACCTTCAATTGAAGCCCATTTTAAAACTTATGAGCCAATGATACTGTATATAAATAATTATAATGTCAAGCGGAACAATTTTAAACTCCGCGCAGTATGGAAATGCGTCATCTTTACTGTAACATCATTGTAATGAGCTATCGCCACTATTAAGACATATACTGTTTCCGTTTTTAATTCAGAGTCATCGTGTCATAAACTGACCAAAGGTTATATTGTTAAGTAATTTGAAACGACAATAATAATGTTAATTGCCGTCAACAGTTTATGTTTGTTTAAATGAAAGCTGAGTCATATAAAAGAGTAGGAAAGTTAACTGCTAGCATGCCAAACTGCATGACAGCAACGCGCCGCCGCGTCGCTTGCCATTAATATTGTATGCATGCTAGCATGCGGGGCAGCATGCACTGGGGGGTTACGACGAATACATTGTGTCGCGGTGACAAAACTTTGGAACCTTAAACGCTTATGAGTGAATATTTCAGCAGTGTTGTCTTCTGCCTTTGTAGAATATTAATATCACTTCCTAACTTAATCCCTATATAATATGGCGCTGTTAAGAGGATTTCAGCTATTTGATAATAAAAAGTAATACAAATCATAATCAAGTTTAATATAATAATAATAGAAGTAACTATACTTTTGCATTACATCTGACGAATGAGGTTAAGGAAGGCATTCATTTTTAAAGGTTGGGGACACAATTAAAACCATATTGGTATTAGCACCATCGATGGTGTATCATTTCCTTTTTTTTTTAATAACATTGCCCTTACTGTATAATAACATTATCCTGTGCTGTAAGGACGTTTTACATACATAAATTTCATGTGGTAACCCTAGATCTGAAATAATTATCACACAAATAATTGTCCCGGGTGGAAATCGAACCCACGACCCCGACGCCGAAGCTACGCATCACCAACAGCACCACGGAGTCATCAAATAGGTATAGGCCCTTTATAACAAGATCCCCGCTTTGAATTAAATGACATTTATTTATTTATTTAACAAGTTACAAATAATAATGTGAGGATAAAAATTACATACATACTTGTGATAGCATTACATTTATTTAATTTATTATTTTTCGTTTAACACCTGTCATTTACTCTTCACCATAACAAGCGTCGACTGGTAGAGAGTGCCATCAGACATTAAGGCCGCCCATAGTTGCCCGAAGTGTACAGCAATAAAGTTTAAAGAAATAAATAAATGCACACTTACGGCCTGTGCTGAAGACCATTTACTTCAGCTCTAAATTAGCTAGTTCCGAATACAGCGAAATGGATTCCGTTAATTTCATGATAATTATGTGGAAAAATCACTGTCTCAAATTTGTCGGGTGTACAACAAAGACCTCAATACATATTAAGATAATCATACAATTCAGAATCTCACATTGCGAGAAATTGCTTACACAAAAATAAACAAAGTTTTTCATGTCTACTGCCTATAATCAAATCCAAGGTAGAATATCAAAAGACTGTTCATCAAAGAGCGTCACGGACCCACCGAGTTTGCTCAAACGCTAATATAGTACTTAATTATTGGGCCACGCAATTTATAGGTAGATTTAGTAAGTTTATAGCCTATAATGTACTCAGGCATGTTTACTAACTTCGTCAATTTAATGAGATCTCCCCTCGATGATTTGATGGCGGTCGTTTATGACTTTATTACGACGTGTAACGGTTTTAATGTTGCTCGTAGAATGAGTATCTAAGTATTGTACAAGTGTTTATTAAAAGCCGTAGTGCTATTGATTAGAATTGGATAAGTTTATTGACTTAAAAAACCTTTTCAAACTTCATCGCCCTAAATACCAAAAAGTTTGGTCAGAAAAACCCGGCAAGGTCCGTTTGTAAACTTCAGAAGTTTTGCAAAGCTAAAAGCTAACGCGAAATTGGCCGTCTCGTTAGGGAGAACAACTCGGTTTGAAGTAAACGACTATTAGTAAGTATAGGGGTAATCTGAAGGTGTATAGAAATGGTTATTTTATCATTTATCTTGATAAGTCATTAAGATCATCTTGATGTATATAACTCTCAGGGCGATGCACGCAAACATAATATTTCGGTACATTGTATCATTAACTAGCGACCCACAATAGCTTTGCACGAGTGCAATGTGCATATAAACTTATCTCTTGAATCACTCTATCCATTTCTGAAAACTGCATTAAAATCCGTTACGTAGTTAAAACATCTAAGCGTACAAACACCGGGAGCAACTTTGTTTTATACGTCTATTCATCATCATCATCATCATTTCAGGCTGTTTGAGTCCACTGCTGAACATAGGCCTCCCCCACAGACTGCCATGAAGTACGATCCTGAGCCACCTGCATC